GCTACAGCACAACGGGAACTATGTGACAAATTAGCCTCGAAACACCACTGCATCACGTGACGGTCTATATTTTCCTGACTAAATACTTCTTACCATTGCTTATAATTCTTGAGATTTTGATGTAACAAATACGGAGTTCAAAGGCGCAAGCCTATTTTTCTCTCAAATATACTCATTGACTGACTGACTGACTTGGATGCAGACCAAACTTCTGGTTTAAGAAACACTACCTGTTAAATACGTTTGAAATCTGAGCCACGTTGGGTGCCTTACGCATTCCAGGATCACTGAGTGTAATAGACAAGACGCCAAATAGGGTATGGCTGACGTAGATGATGGGTTGGTTACTTCCAACACACTTAAGTATATTCATGAACCTACATGGAGGACTAGTCATGGATCGGTGATATAATGACAATTCGCGAATTAATATCAGCCCTGGATTGTTCTTTGAAAAAAAATTCAGTTTGAACTGAGCAAGTGTTAAATGCCACTAATAGTTGACTTTGGATTTACCGCGGGCTTCAGCGGCTAACTTAACTGTATTGCGGTTGGCAGATAGGCTGTTTTGACTGCGTTAACACATAAGCGCGTAAATTCTATTAACAGCCGCTTACTGGTAAACGATGTTGAGCAATTTGAAAGAATCCACTGAGAGCAGCAGGTAGGTTCTACTGTTTTGGTTTCTGATTTTCCAGGACATTCTTCTATTACGCCCTGATTTTTCTCACTGGTGCTTCTAAGGCAGCTGCTCTCTATGCTGCCTATGACGTTCTCGCATACTACCACACCCTTTCCTTTTTATTTTTTATAAAATTAAGGTAAATCGGTCCATTTTCACGACGTTTTAGCTGTTCATGCCTTCTGTTTTCTATTCAAAGGCCTTTGCATAATTCAAATTGGCCGACAAAATCGCAAGTAAGCCTTGTTCACACTTTATACTATGAACTAGTCCTTTCGGATATTCAGGCATTCGTGCGTCCGAATTTTATTAGATACGATGTGGGTTACTGGACTGATTCTCTGTGGTCCATTTCGGTAAATTTTTCGTAATATTTATAAAATTAGTTTCATACTAATTTACGAACACTCTGATATTGCAATAGTTTCGTTGTTGAGTACATTGTTCATCCGCTCGACTTCACCCGCCAAGGTAAATATTTTATGTGAACTATTACCTTTCAGTCAAGGGGCGTTGCTTTTTTCATACTTGGAGTAGTCTGTGTCATATTTTTTGATCACGACGTCGCCGATTCTGTCTCTGAGCACCGTATCCTTTTAACGTTTGTCGTGGTTACAAAATTTTTTAACTCTTTCAATTAATATTCATTGCCTCGTGTATATGTCTTGGTTTACGGTCCTTACCACTAGTGATCACATTCGAATGTTATGATTGACCGAATGAAGGCAGAATACGTCTGAAATACTACTGTATCAATAAATTTACAGTCGCGGTCGACTCCTCCCCTCTAGTACATATATGCGGCAGGGGACTACTGACGATGACAAGAAATACGGGAATTATTATTTCTAATTTTTTAGTGTTCGTCAGTCGGACTTACGCAAACCCAGTTTTGCAGGGTAGTCAAGCGTCACTAATTTCAGCTGTCTATCACTAAGCCATGCATCGTCTTGCCGGTTGCTTTCTGGGATATTAAGTTATGTTATATATCGCTGTCTTGGCTGCTGAAATGTTATTCCTTGACAACTATTTTTATAGCTGAGGGTGTGCACAAAAGTCTTCTTATCCATCGTATATATGAATTCTTCATATACTGTGGACTCTCCGATCACAAGGTAATTAGCTTTTCGTTTTCCACCATTAGTATGATAAATTCACTGGTTTCGAACATTAATTTAATTTCCTTATAGATTCACTATTTGAACTTAAAACGCGCATTTTAATTTTGTGGTTTTTCTGAATTTTGCTAGACCGGCGCTATGTTGCTTATACTAGCTGCCTGCTTCGAATCCGCTTTTCACAACTTTTCTCGCGGTCTAGCTGCTGATATTGGTGGAGCAAAGAGGCTTCATGCCCTTTCAACATGTGTTTCCGTTGTCCCTGTCAGTATCCTCATTTTCCTTGAATGGATATATGGAACGGTCTTCATACACAATACTTCGTCTGATGTGCGTGAGTGTTTTATTCCTGCCGTTAGGTTTTTTCAGTTCCCAATATCAGTGGGTTTTATCCGGTTTCACGATTTACCTTTATGATGTTGTATTCATTCACCCTTTCTATGCTAATGTTGATGTACCAACCGCGTATACTAAATGCTTTAGCTTGCAGCGTCGCCAGGAGAATCGTCGCAACTTTACTATCTAAGCGTCATGGCTGCTATTGGTTTGGCAATGGTTGCTGAATTTTACTGCCAGCATTTTGTCGCCAACAAGATTGGACCACATAAAGTGGCAGTGATGGGCTATGAAACAATCGTATTAACGGCTCTGTTCATCAGGTTCGTTTGTCAGTTTTTGTAATTCCCAAATAATTTTCGTAATTTTCTCCCTTTTCCTGTTCATGTGCATCTTTGTGGTTTTAAAATAGATATGCTGTGAACTTTTACTTCTTTTGGACAAAATAAAGTCGTTCTAATTTCAAACTTTTTTCGTAAGTGCTGTATTCTGGATTGCATTCGCAACTTTCTTAACTTTATATTATGACTATATAACGGAAATGCACCAATCTCTTTTGCTTGGCGTTACAACCCCATTCGTAGCATATTATTTTTGAACAGCCAACCATGACGACACGTTTCGTTTTACAGAAATCCGTAGGCCTTTGTAATATTCCTCTCTTAGGCTGATGCGTTTTCAGATAATGAGTGTCTACATTTTGAGCTGGGGTAGATGAATTTTCAGAAAGAGTTTATGTAGAGGTTATTAAAACATCGTTGTTCAGTTTTCGGTCAAAGGCTGGTCCACGTTTCTGTCAGACTTAACTAGTTGAGTTGTGGATATCTTCCTGCATTTCGTCCTATGGACTTTTGAACTGACTTACTAAGTCTTTGTAAGCCACACGGAACCAGATAGGGTTCTAAGTTATAGCAATTTATATTACCAGCTACTTAACTCTTATATAGTCGTATGAATTAACTCTTTTACGCCGAATATTTTGAATTTAGCCTTTGTATAACAAAGCCTGCCCCGCTCGAAGTAGACTTGGATATCGGTCATATCAGGGGTGCTGTTTTTGGCCACTCAGCCCGACCGTCGCATTATCTCTCCACAGGTGTCATTGTCGGCATGCTTTCAATGCTATATGGTAAGTTGCTTTTTCATTTATAGATACTGCGTACATTTTTCAAAGATCTTTCGTATGTAGATGTCTAAGTTGTGCACTGCGTTATCCTCTATTGATCGTAATTGAATCCTGCTGTCTCTGACCTCACTAGATCACCGTCCTTCCTTTTTCTAACTTGTTGTAGGAGCCATGCTTACAAGCGTGATACGGATTCGTAATTCGTGATTCATCGTTGTAAAATTCTGGTTCATGCCGCCTTCATTTATGGCTAACCTCGCTGAGCTCCAAGAATATAAACATTTTCCTCGTGCCTGCTACTTGTCAGTGTGTCCAAGTAGTCCCAATAAGTCGTCATCTGCCCGAAAATTTGCTCTTTTTCACGTCCTCATGGACACTCAGCAATTGAGTGATCTTAAGTTCTCATTCCTGATAGCTGGAAGTTTATCCTCGAAGGGCACAACACTTTGTAAGCGAAGTGAGCCAGGAAAGGGCTAGAGCTTATTAACGGTTACCAACCCCCCGGGAGAGGACCTGGAACATGCTTATATATGCTCAAGTTAGCGCCTAAATGTGCTGTTGAATGAATCCATTAAGATAACGTTCGCTATATCAACCTCATTTTTATACTTTTGTATGTCTGCATTTTTGTGGGAACCGCCTTCCGCTTATGCTTTACAGTACTTTCACTAAAACTTGCCTTTCGAACTACTTTGTCAGTGATAAAAAAGTGATATACTAGAGTTATTAATTTCTCGTTGTTAGCTTTTGACACAACCTTCCAATTTGCTTGGCTGCATAATAGCGTCCATTTATCATATTATTTTTCACGTTTTTACTTTTTCCCGCCAAACTCTCTTATACCTTAAGCTGTTTTTGTGTCAATTTTCCAACACTTACTGCTGATGATAGGACTCCTTTTTTATAAAGTCACGTACCGTATTGTGAGGAACCGGAGCTGCTCCCTCCACTTTTATGATTTCTTTGCACTGGCCACAACAACTAACCTGTGTGGGAACATCCTCAGATATTCATTTTCGCAGCGAGTTTCCGGACGTTATAATGGAGAACAGCGGCATTTAAACATAAACTAATTATTTATTTATTCGACTGGTCAGAAAAACACT